ACTGAAATATATTGAAAATTTTTCAAGTTCTTATCTAAAATGAAGAAAACACAAACTGTAAGCAAAATTTTATGAAATGTCAATAATGCCTCTATTCATGAGCATTTATGCTGGACAATTTGCAATACTCATGTCTGTCTTCAACCAGCCACGGCTCAATAAAAGCTATCGAATCTTTTACATACCAAGGAATGAAAATAAATTCTACTGAAAACGATATGAAAATTCGCAAAGCCTGGGTTGCCTTGAATAAAATGGATGTAATCTGGAAATCTGATCTACCAGACAACCTCAAACAGAGATTCTTTTGAGCCACTGTAGACTGTTTTAATGTACTGCTTGAGCCTAAGCTTGTTGGAGCCTACACTTGGATGTTGAGAGCTCTACTTAACATCTCTTGGAAATAACATCCATTTAAATCACAGCTTTATCACTCCATCCCTGATATTTCTATAAACTTACCTGAACACAGAATGCGCTTTGCAGAACACTGCTGGTGAATAAAAGAAAAACTTGCACATGATCTACTGCTCTGGACTGCTAGCCAATGGCACAAGATGAGTTAGTCACCCAGCAACCACCTACATTAACCAACTCTAATGAGCTATTGACCTTGATGCAGGACAGGACCATGATAGTTGGTGTGATAGTCCCATGAATGTCCAAGTTAGCTTGGACTGAATAAAAATGCTGGACAATTTTCTCACAGATGAAGAAGAGACTTGAAGCAACAGAAGAATACTGAGATTACCATAGACAGAACATATGTGCAATAAGAAAGCTTTAAGGAAAATAAAAACAAAAAGGAATCAGAAAGAAAGAGTTGAAATTTCTAAGATACCCAATGAGGAAAGAAGTCTTGGAGAATTTGACACTCAAAGGACAGAGAGAGAAACAGTGAATAATCTACTTAACAACTTTGAGTAAATGGATAGAAGAAAAGGGAGTGGGAAGGATGGTGAAAAAAAAAAACCTTACTAAGAGCTACAAGCGAAAGGAAGTTGTGGAGAGCCATGATTGACAACATCCTGAAGAGAGCACACAGAAGCAGCAGCAAAATAGTGTCTCTCTCTCTCTATATATATATATATATATATAAAAAGGCATCTGTTTAAACTGAAGCCAAGAGGGTGTGGGTTAAAACAAAATTAGCCTATCTACTAAGGAATTAAACATGGGCATGTTAAATAATTTTTATTTAAAATCGGTTATATTTGCTGCATAAATTAACTAAGATTTCATCATTTTCTATTCTATTTTAATCAGGATTAAAAGGTATGACAGATATCTTAAATATGGACGGTTTTACAATAGCAGTAACACAATTACATGACTTGAATTACATCAACATGTATTATGAAGAATTTGAAAACTTTCAGGAATATTATTAACTTATTCTATATAAAAGAATAAATTTATCAAATAGTTTTCATGCATTTGTTTAGTACAGAAACATCAAATTTTAAATCATTGTTTTTAAAAACTTATTTAAAATCAGATGAATGAGATTTTAAATATAGGTTTTTAAAAGTAAACATTTTCTCCCTTCACAATCACTTGTCAAACTAGTGTTGAAAACAGAAATGAAAAAATGTGAAAAACAAAGTTAAATTCAATTAAATCATTCTTTAAGTTTATTTTTATCTCTAAATAGTTGAATACTTTTTATCAATATTTTTAAAAGATGTCAAAATTGTCACTTATTTAAAGAAAAACCACATAATCATGTATTTCATTTGCATATATATCATTACAAATGACTGACAAGGTACTAGTGCTAAATTTTGTATAGTATTTTTCTTGAATTTGAAGAGAATTTTTTTCTTATTTGAGTTGGGGGAGGGGGCTTAGTGTCAGTAGAAATTGTCCAAAAGATTGTCCATTCCAAGAACTTTCAGCATATCTATTAGCCATTTTCAAAGTGTGTCATTGCAAACAACATATAAGTTGTTCCAAAGTACATATATCTTTAATGTCGGAATACAACCAATACATTTTGGCTGTGTTTGTAGCTGATGCTGTTGATGTTTTTTATGCTAAAGGCTTCATTTATTCTTAGACACTTTTTGCAATTGGAGGTACGTTTCACATTCATGTTCTTGACTAGTATATTACGTATCAAAATTGGTAGGTTTTCTGTATTTGTTTAAATGGTTTCTTAGGGAGCTGTGGTCAGCCATCTTAAGTGAATGGTAGCAGGTCCAACATAATTATTTATTAATTTTTTTTTTGTTGTAACACAGTTCTGTATAAGGGCATTTGTATTCATAAATAAGGCTAGTTATAAAATAAAATGATGGACTCTCCCATTGTTTTTAAAGTATGAAGGTCCAAGAATTCAGCTCCTAGAACTGAGCAGTCTACCCACACATATGATTTGATTATAGCAGTGAAAGTTTGTGAAGACTTTTTGGAAGAACTAAATGCAAACAAACTGCTGTTTTATAGTGTGCCATGAGCTCCCCAAACATCATTTTGAATTCAGGGTTGTCCTTCTCCACAACTGGTTGCCAACTGAGGCAAAAAGAGCCCCATCTGTACTACTGTTTAACCTATATGTGGGGAGAGAAGAGATGGATTCATAACTTTCCTAAAGGTATTTACTCATAAGTGAATGTAATGAACTTGACTGGAATTCAAACTCAGCTCTCCAATTTCTCAGTCCGAGCCATTATTTATTACACCACTCACACATCCATATATATATATATTTTACAAATATTCTCTCAATACAAGGTCCAAGAGCCACTCAAGGTAGAGTGCTACTGTGTGGAGTTATATTAGCATAGGAAAAGACAAGCGTTAGGAGTATAGAGCTGAGTACACTTTAGAAGGAACCAGAAACACAATCCTAAACAGTAAACAAAAAAACCTCTACTCCTGTTTAAAGGACCAGGAGGAGTGTGAACAGGATGATGTATGTTTGGAAAATAAAACATTGGACTATAACTCTAGATACATACATTATAAAATCCATAATTCAGTTAAAAGTAAAATCATCCTGCATAATGGCTAAAAGTATAGCCGAAAGAGCTTGGACATACTGAATATTCAGAGAATTTCTACATAATTTATGTCCAGAAAAGAAGAAAATTTAAGAACCCAACAAAAATTAAATAAAAAAAACTTAACTGTAGTATGTTGTCAGTTGTTTTTAATGAAACTTGTATAAAAGTGGGATTGCTATCCAAATACACAATATATATATATATATATATATATATATATATATATATATATATATATATATTTATATATATATATTTTATTCTTTTCTTTATCTTTATTCTGGAGGCAGGGTGAGTGATTCAAAACAATTCAAGTTGCCTAATTTTTTACAAATCCAAATTTAAAGATCAATACACTTAAAGTTACAAATTAAAATTGAAGATAAATCTATTTTTCAACCATGAGCTTGACGGTAAGATCTATATAGATCATATACGATATATACATAGCCATTTGCCTCTTTTTAGTCTTTCTTTCTTTATTCTCCCCAAATGCTGGCGCCCAAGTATAAAGAATGCGAGTTCGAATCTTGTTGGAGGTTTTATTTACGATCCTTACTATTTCGTTTATTAACAATAAAGCATCATTAAGATGAAAATTACAAGTAAAAAACTGACAACTATTCTTTAATTTAAAAGAATTTTAAAATTATATTTTTCTTCGATTAAAAAAATATCTTTAGTCATGAAAGTTTTAAAATGAAATCAACTTGTTATGCAAATAATGGTAAAAAAAAATTGTTACTTCTGAAAATGAAAATGAAAGACTGAAGGTTACGACAACGGACGAATTTTTCTTTTCTTTTTTTCTTTTCACCTATTTCCAAATTAATAGTAAAAAAAAAAAAAAAAAAAAAATGTTTACACTACACTACAGCATAAAAAAAAAGTCTTTCTTTACTTTAGGGTTTGGGATTTTTTTTTTTAAATGATTTTCTCGTGTCATATTTAAACAAAAAATAAATTGTCTTAGTTTACTTTAAATTTAATTATTTTAAAAGAACTAAAAAATAAAAATGAAATATTTATTTCCAGGTGCTTAAAAAATGAATTACAAAAAGCTTCCGCCACAAATAACATTGTTTGCGATGATGTGATTAGAGAAGAAAAGACTACAATTTCAAACAAGAGAAGGAAGATTGTGTTGCAGCAGCAGCCAAATAGGGAGGCTTTAATTGTTTACCGGTCTTGAAAATCAGCATTCAAAATTCTGGACTTGGGCTCGAAAACTGATCGTTAGCGTTGTTGGGAAGTAGACCGGACACAAAAAGCCATTTAAAATATAAATAAATAAGCAGTTTTGGGTTTGTTTGTTTTTTTTGTTTTTTTACTGTTGTTCATATTGGGAATCTACCATATTTTTTTCAGAAATTCAAACTTTTAAAACGAAAAAAAGAGGATAAAATTGTCTTTTTGAAATTAAAGAAAACAAATCACTGATGAAGAGACGAAGAAATTGTTAAAAAGAAACACATGCTGCACAATTATTTATCAATAAATTGAAACTCTAAAAACTAATTTAAAATAGCGATTGAACAAGAAAGAGGAAGAAATATTTGTTAGGTCAAGTATCTACTTTATCGTAAACAGTGCCAAAGACAAGCAGGGACTTCATTTTTTTTTCCGTTGACATTTTTTTCTGTGGACATTTTAATTTTTTTTTTTTTTTTTTTTACTTGATTATTTTTATTTTAAAAATATCGTTATTGTTGAATAAAGTTTTTAGAAGCGTGTATCCAACAAGGCAAAAAAGCTTTTACTTAAATAAATATGTCAAAATGATTTTCTTATTATAGTGCAGATGTTTTGGTGGATATTTAACAAACGAACTAAAAAAAAAACAAACAATTTTCTAGGCGGAACGTGAAACAAGAAAGAAAACAAGAAGTGTAATCATTAATCCACATCACACACGCCATGAAAAGGAGAGAACAATGTAGAAAATGAAGAGTTTATATATAGAAACAAAAATAAAAATCAACTACCACAAACCTTGCACAGGAATTTAGAGACTTTGCTGGCAAATAACTGAACACTTTCTTTGTTATTAAAGGAATTTTAGTTAGCACGTACGATGCCGCACTACATGTTTCAATAGCATCGACCATTTTCGGAACTCTTCAGTCATTGAGGGAACGAAAAAATAAAAATTTAGTCCGCGAAACGAAAGAAATCCTCACGGCATTAACTAACAAAAAAAGAAAGTGTTTATTTGTCGTATCTGATCACAACATTGGCTTTGTTTGTATTGGCCTTCCTGGTTATTATTAGTATTTTAAGGAGACTTTTGAAAATTAAATAGCGGTCTAGAAATTTAAAAATATATCTTAATTTATTTTTGCAAGAAGCAATTGCTATAAACTTCGGTGAGAACGTAACTAATTTAAAAACTAATATTTAAGGAAATTTCTCTGTACTAATACATTTTTTGTACCTAACTACATACAGTTGTTTTGTATTACTTATGTTGGATTGAACGCCCACCCACTACTGTCAAGATTGACAAGAGTAGTAACAGCTTCGTTTGTTACACTTTTGAATGAGTAGTTATGGTCACCTTCACTCCTTTTCTTCTCTGTCAGCCAATGTGGCATCTTAGTGATAAGAGATTTGGTGAAGATTTGTCATGATGAAAAGGATGAAAATAGAAAGGAGTTCATGTCTTTTCCGAGGGTATTAGTATGCAGTTTAGTATACATAAGATTTAAGTAATCTAAGCCAGAATTTGGACTCAGTTTGTCATTTCTGTTTGGTTAGTAGACAAACTGACAATATCTCCAAGGACATTTCATGCATCTATGGAAATAACTCCAATAGGAAATAAATAACCCCATTTTTTTCTTTCTATAAAAGAAAAAACATTTTAATTTTACATTTCTCTTTTTTGAAAAGGTAGGTTTACACTTTGGATTTTTTATTTCAAAAAGCCATTTTACGTACATATATAGCAATGTTTTGGGTTTTTTTTTTTAGCCAGGATTAGGATTAATCTCGTACTAAGCAACATGGTTTCTAAGGATTTGTATTAAAGATTTGAGGCAAGTTTTTACAATGCCAGATGCTCTTCCTGACACCCCTCCCTGACTCTGAAGCAACAAAACCTCTTTATACCTCAAACTTATCTTGAGAAATATAGAATAAAACCAAAGCAATTTAATAAAACTTTGCAAATTTTGAACATGAAAAAAACAATTTATTTTACTGTATTTGTGTTATGTTGTATCTGTTAATAAATATTATTTTTAATTTGACACTTGAGGAAATGTTGCCAGTTATATTTTCTATATACTCTCATTGCTTGACATATTGTAGAACCTAAGTTCTACATTTCAGTGGATTACGCCTGATTTCCATAATACTGTTATTTAGTAACATTCTGATTGGACAATAAATATGAAAATTGTATTTTGTGTATCTTCATGTGCAAAGTTCTTAAATTTTGTGCAAGCTAAACAGATATAGGTTCCAAACCAAGTTTCAACAATTGAAATATTCTGATTGGTTAATAAATACCAAGGTCATATTTATGCCTATGCACAAATGTTCAAACCAGAGAACTGCCAAAATTAAGAGAATGTGTTCTAAAGCCTATCACGTGATCAACAAGTAAATAAATATGATACACTAACACATTCGACATATCTTTACTCATTTCAGCAGAATGCATTGTATATTTTATGTTATATAAATCAAAATATTGTTTGTTATTCAAAAACTGTTTTTTTTTTGTATTATTTCTCTTGTTGTTTATTGTTTCTTGGCACATTTGTTGAAAGTAAAAATAGTAAGGGATTGAATTGAGACTTGTTCAATCCTTTACAATATCTTGTTAATTTAAGAAGAAGAGAAAAGTTATTAAAGATTCATAAAAATATTAGGCTATCAGATTTATCAAAAAGAAATGCGAAACACGCTTCAAATTTTCTTACTATGTTTGTCGAATACAGTAACATCTCAATTTGTATGTGTGTGCATCTACCTGGATTCTATACTCTTGGAATTTTTTATTCAAAAAATATACATGTATGTGTATGCACCTATGTATATATATATATATATATAAATATATATATATATATATATATATATATATATATATATATATAAATATATATAGTAGAAAAAGCTGTCTACTAGAGTGGCTAGCCAATCCCTACTGCAGACGCTTGCTCAGGGACATTTGTGCTTATTCAACACCTACAGAGTCCACCTGTGGTTTATACTGCAACTATGCTGAGCAGACCTTAGTTACAGTTTCTGGGAGAGAATAAACAGTATTATTCTTTCACTGACTCTGTGAAACTTACATCACCACAATTACAACAAATATTTCTTTAAGTAAACTCATATACCATAACTCCAGGTCTCATGTGAATGTTCTAACCACTCGGCCATGCACCCATATATATATATATATATATATATATATATATATACTGTGCGATGGGTAAATTTTTATCATTTTATACTTTTCATTTTGCATATGTGCATTATTTGTTTTTGTTTTTGTCAATTTCACAGACTAGTAGGTCAGTTGGAAAAAACACCATGACACAATTCACTCTGCCAGAAACTTGGAAACAACATGCTGTACTGCTTGGCATTCAGACCAGAATCTACAATACAAACATTTCAGAGTCTGTGGGTGTCAATCTGTGGACAGTGTAGAGGATTCAGAAAAAGTTTGATTATATATCCAGTCAACATGGTGTTTTGTGTGATCACTAGTGATGGCGACATTATGCCTTCATTCATCTTCCCACATGCCCTCAGACTGAACATGAAGGCCTACATCAAGTGCCTTTGAGGAGGTAGTGCTGCTTTAGATCAAGAGGGTGGCTCCTGGAAGACCCTATGTCTGGCAACAGGATTCTGCACCATGCTACACAAGCAAGACAAACCAGTCATGGCTGCCAAACAATTTCTACAACCACATCACCCCTTACATCTGGCCCCCTAACTCCCCAGACTGCAAGCTGGGGGCAGTTGAGCAAGACCGACAAACTTCTTTTTAACCCCAAAGATGAACTGAAGACAAGGATTATGGTAGCACTCACCAACTTAAACCAGGAGACCATCCAGAAAAGTTGCAGGAGGTTCTGAAGTTGACTGGCAGCCATGGTTAAAGTCAATGTCAATTTTATTAAATAAATTTACTCTTTAGTATTTCAAGATATTTTTGTGTAATTTTGCTAAATATATCTGTTAAAATGAAATATCAGTGTTACGACAATTTATCCATCGCACTTTGTATATAACCTCAATTTGAACATGTTGTCCTTGATTTGCATCTGAAAACAATAAACAATTTGTTTTTTTTTATTATTGAGTCTTTATTTTAATAAAAACATATATAATAAAGAAATGAAAAGGAAGATATCTAAGTCTAATAATTTTATTTTTATCATTTTGCTACAAATAAGGCAATAAAGCCACTACGACACATGGTGTTACTCAGAATGAAAGAGCCTAAAAAATATTAATAAAGCGAGAAGACAATAAAAGACAGAATTCAAGGAGACAAAAGGTGACGATTGACATTGCATTTAAATTTTTAAAGATCAATCTTGAGTAATAATTTTCCAATTCCAAAAGTAATTATTTCCTCATTTTTCAATGTAATCATTTCTACCTAAGTAATCATTTCCCCCTTTATAAAAGTAATTATTTCCACCTTTTCCAAAATTTTAATTTTTTCCTTTTAGAAAGTAATTATTAATATGTAATATGTCTCACCTTTTCAAAAGTATACTTTCATGCTAAGTAATAATTTCCTCAAAAGAATTTCCCCAAATTAATAATTTTTATCGTTTTTCAATGTAATCATTTCCTCTTTTACCAATTATTTCAAAAAATAATAATTCCCACCTTTTTCAAAGTTATAGTTTCTTCTTTTTTTTCAATCTAATTGTTTTTCCTTTACCAAAGCAATAATACCCCTTATCCAAAGTAATAATTTATTCCTATTCCAAAGTAATAATTCTCAGTTTTTCAAAATAATTTTTTCCTCTTGCAAAGTAATAATTCCAACCTTTTTCTAAGCAATAATTGCCACTTTTTCCAAAGTAATAATTTCTTTTTCAATGCTATCATTTCTTCTTTTTCCAGATTTAATAATTTTGCTTTTTTCATTGTAATTATTTCTCCTTTTTCTAAAGTAATAATTTCCCATTTTTTTCATATAATCATTTCTTCATTTTCCAAATGTAACTATCACTAATTTTTTGACAAATACAGACACGTCTCTTTCATTTCCACATTTCACCCATTCTGCTTTTTCTAAATGTAACCTTTTTTTTACAAACTAGTGATTTCTTCTTCCTCAAAATGTCATCACCTGGCACAATTTTGTAATATACATTATGTTTTTGTGATCTATACCTATGTTGCTACGAGGGTAGAGACACAGGTTGTTTACTGCAGCAGCCAACAACAGCAGAATGTTTTGGTGATACTGTCTTGCTCATTTCTTATATATAGCTGCATATTTATCTGTTCAGGATAGGAAATTTCTATTTTTTTTTTTTTTTTTTAAGCTTCTTTTAGCCTTTGTATTGCATGAAACAATAAAAAAACGTATTTGGAAACATTAATCATCATTTTTGATTGTTTTATTTCCTGTTTTAATTTTATTCTACTTTTGAAAACACTGCAAAATATATGTGGAATAATTTGGCAAGACTACTTTTCCATAGTTTTCTTTTTTTGATGATTTTTTTTTCTGCCATCTGGCATTTTCTGTGGCCTGGTCCTAAAGGTATTAACGATGTTGAACTGTAAAATAAGTAACAATAATTCCAACACAGAGGCCAGAGTAAAAAAAACAAATAGTAGCAATAATGAAAGATTTACACTATTTACATTATTTGGACTATTGTCCTCATCTTTGTCGCCATATTTATTACAATGTTTCAGCTGTTGTACACTCCGGCCTTCTTCAGGTGGTTGGAATGACCAACTGAACCCTTTATTTCACTAACTGGGGTAGAATGTTCTAGTTCCATGTGCCATGTTTAATGGATATCTGCTATCTGTTATCTCCTGTTAATTCCCCTCTCCAAGTTCTCCACTGCCTAAACCGGGTATTGAACTCACACTCTTTGGGTCC